TAACCTCCCTCTGTCAGGGGCTGCACTGACATCGTCTGCTGCGTCCTGCTGGTCCTGGCCATCATGGGCTACGTGGTCGTGGGCGTCGTGGGTACGTTCGGGGCTCGGGGAGGGAGTGACCCCCGTGCCCAGGGTCTCTCTCGTCCCGTGGGGAAGGGAGGGTCCCACGGGGGCTGGGGGTGACCACAGTGGTGCCCTGTGCCCCCAGCCTGGACCCACGGGGACCCGCGGAAGGTGATCTACCCTACGGACAGCCGCGGGCAGTTCTGCGGGCAGCAGGGAACCCCCAACGAGTAGGTGTCCCCACAGAGCCCCCAAACCCTCGGGGTGTCCTGAGGGGGGCCCAGACTGGGAGGTTTTGGTTTGTTTTGCAGGAAGAAACCTTTCCTGTTTTACTTCGACATCGTCAAGTGTGCGAGTCCTCTGGTGCTGCTGGAGTTCCAGTGCCCGACCCCGCAGGTATGACCCGACCCCTCTGGCTCGGGGGGTCCCTGGGGGGGCCACACTGTCACCTGCAGCCTCTGTGTCCTCCTGCCCCTCCAGATCTGTGTCAGCAAGTGTCCCGACCGGTACCTGACATTCCTGCGTGCCTATGCCTCCAGCACTCCTGCAGACATGGACTACTACAGGAACTTCTGTGTCCCTGAGTTCAAGGACCCGCGGAAGGTGAGTGGTGGTGTTGGTGTCCCTCCCCAAGGGGTAACTCCTGCCTGGAGCACCCACCTCCTGCTCACTGTCCCCATCCAGGGTCCCATCGAGGTGCTGAAGGACAAGGAGTGCCCAGCCATGCTCATCCCCAGCACCCCATGTACGTCTGGGATTAGGGAGGAGCTCATTAGTGAGCTCATTAACGAGCCACTCACTTCCACTGCGGGAGGTCTCTGCTTCCGTTGGGGTTTTGGGGGAGTTTGTGGCTCTGGGGAGGAGCTTCAGGCTGGTTTTCCCAGCTGGGTCATCCCCTCCTGTCCCACCAGTGGCACGGCGATGCTTCCCGGCCATCGAGGCCAAGCAGGGAGTCATCATGGTGGGCAACGAGACCACCTACGACGACGGCCGTGGGCAGCGGAGGAACGTCACCGAGCTGCTGGAAGGGGCCAAGTGAGTGCCAGGCTGCCCCATCCCTGCTGCTCCTCCACTCCCTCCCCCATCTCCCACTCCATCGGTGTCTCCTGTGCCTTGCAGAAAAGCCAACGTGGTGCTGGAGGCGAGACAGTTGGCCATGAAGATCTTCGAGGACTACACGGTGTCCTGGTACTGGATCATCATGTGAGCGGGGGCCGAGCGCCGGGGATGGGTTCCCACCTTGGAGGTGCCCCAGGGATGGTGGAGAGCACTGGGAAGAGCTTTGACTCCTCCGTGCCTTCGTCCCACAGAGGCCTCGTCATCGCCATGGTGGCCAGTTTGATCTTCATCGTCCTGCTGCGCTTCCTGGCCGGGATCATGGTCTGGGTGATGATCGTCATGGTGATCCTGGTGCTGGGATATGGTGAGTGAGGCCTTGGGTGCGTCTCCCAGGCTTTTCCCCACGTTCCTTTCCCTATTTTAAGTGGGATTTGCGCCGTGGAAGTTCACACACCGTGTCCTTCAGGTGTCTTCTCCCTGATCGCGCCAGTGGGGTTGAGCAGATCCTGCCAGAATCCAAGTCTGCTTTTCCATGCAAACAGGATAATTTTGTGCTCTTTACCACAGGAATCTTCCACTGCTACATGGAGTATGCCAAACTGAAAGGGGAATCAGGTTCAGATGTCTCCCTGGTGGACTTGGGTTTCCAGACCGACCTGCGCGTCTACCTCCACCTGCGGCAGACGTGGTTGGCGTTCAGTAAGTCTCTGTGCTCCCTTAGTTGTGGGATGGGACCTGGTGGGGACAGAGCATGGCAAGGAGGAGCACAGGGGATTTTGGGGTCTCTGTGGTGAAGGAGAGGCTTTGTTTGACTCTGCTGTGTGATGGCCATGGTGACCATCCATGGGGTGTCTCCCCCCGAGCCACAGTGCTGGATGTCCCCAGAGGAGCATTCAGTGCCATGAGGGATTTCCTTGGGAAGGCAGAGGTGGTTGTCACCCACACTGGCACTACCCAGGGCTCCCCTTCTCCTGCCAGTGATCATCCTGTGCGTGGTGGAGGTGGTGATCATCCTGCTGCTCATCTTCCTGCGCAAGAGGATCCTCATCGCCATCGCGCTCATCAAGGAGGCCAGCAGGTCTGGGTCCCTGTCTGCTGTCACCTGCTGGAGCAGGACGACTCGGGGCTGGCGGTGCTCCCATCGCTGTTGGGGGTTTGACTGGGGTGTAACTCTCCTCCCAGGGCTGTGGGTCACGTCATGTCATCGCTGCTGTTCCCCTTGTGCACCTTCTTCCTGCTGTGCCTCTGCATTGCCTACTGGGCCAGCACTGCTGTGTATCCTTTCCTCTTCCCCTTCCCTGTATCCCTGCTCCACAAGTCAAAGGTCTCCCAGGGATTGGAACAGGATCTGTGAGACGACTGCTTGCCGAACCACCACCTAAAGCCTCTGAAGTTTGACTTGGAACACAGCCTGGGTGGGAGAAGCGTCGGGAGGTGGTTGGGGAGAGCAGAGCGGGTTCATCTCTGGGTTTGGAAAATGGCCTTTCCTTAACAGTCACCCATAGCTTCCTGTCCACCTCCAATGAGGCAATCTATAAGGTGTTCAACGAGTCAGCGTGTCCCTTCTCCGGGCAGACCTGCAAGCCAGAGGTGAGGACATCAGGAAACTGAAAACCTTTATTCCTTGAGAAACATCCCGGTGGCTCTTGGAGCCCATGGGTTCTTCCTGGGGAACGTCCACATTTCTGAGCTTGGTTGTGTGTTGGGTCATTTGTTCTCTCCGAGTCACTTTGTGCCCAAAGATGACCTTTTGGGGCTCATGGAAAGTTCAGTGGGCCAGTGACATCCTGCAGCATTGGGGTTGCACTGGGCTGACTGGAGGTGCTGGCTGCCACAGATCCTGTCCACTGTCCTCTGCAGACCTTCAACACCACCAACGTCACCAAGCTGTGCCCTGACGCCCAATGCCTCTTCGCCTTCTACGGCGGCGAAACAGCCTATCACAAGTACCTCATCGTCCTCCAGTTCTTCAACGTCTTCATGTTCTTCTGGCTCGCCAACTTCATCATCGCCCTGGGCCAGGTCACGCTGGCAGGAGCCTTCGCCTCCTACTACTGGGCCTTCAAGAAACCCGAGGACATGCCAGCCTTCCCCCTCTTCTCCTCCTTCGGCCGCGCGCTCCGGTGCGTCCCTGCCGGGCAGGTACGGGAGGTGCTCCCGGTTGTGCTCTCCTAACCAGGGCCATCTCCCCCAGGTACCACACTGGCTCTCTGGCCTTCGGCTCCTTGGTCCTTGCCGTGGTGCAGGTCATCAGGGTCATGCTGGAGTACCTGGACCACAGGCTGAAAGGTACTGAGCGGGAACGGGGATGTGGGGGAGGGAGGTTGGATGCTCCTGTGTCACTCAGGGCCGAAGTCCAGGGGCAGCACTCCAGTGTTTCAGGATAGCAGCAGGATTTTCCTTTTGGAATTCTGCACTCGCCTCTTTCTCCGAGAGGAAGGAATTCCTCCCTGGGAGGGTGGTGAGGCATTGGGATGGATTTCCCAGAGCAGCTGTGGCTGCTCCATCCCTGGGAGTGTTCCAGGCTGGGCTGGATGGGGCTTGGAACAACCTGGGCTGGTGGAAGGTGTCCCTGCCTGTGGTGGGGGTGGGATGGGATGAGCTCTAAGCTTCTTCCAGCCCAAACCACTCCGTGACTGTGATTCTGGGAGGCATTTCCCAGGGCAGGAGCCAAGGGCTGTGCCGTGGCTCCAGGCTATGCCAGCCCATCCCGGTGCCTGTCCTGGTGCCAGGGAAGTCTGTGCTGTTCAGCTGTTGACTGGGAAGTGCAAACAGTGAGCAGGAGGAGCAGCCAAGGCTCGTCCTTCCATCTGCAGCCGGGTCGGGACGCCGAGCATGGGGGAGTTTGGGGACACAGTCTCCCTGGGGACCTTGGAGTGGCTGCTGCAGGCTCCAGCCCCTCTGGCTTTGGCCCTGACGCTGTCCCTGTGCCCTGCAGCTGCAGAGAACAAGTTTGCCAAGTTCCTCCTGAGCTGCCTCAAGTGCTGCTTCTGGTGCCTGGAGAATTTCATCAAGTTCCTCAACAGAAACGCCTACATCATGGTGAGAGTCACCCAGAAGTGATGCTCACGCAGGGCTGGGGCTGGGCAGGGTGTCCCAGTGCTCCTGGAAGTTCGTCTGGGTGGTGTTGGGAATTGTGACTCCTGATGTCCCGGGAACATGGAGCTTGCAGTGTTTCCCGTCTGTTTGGCTGGAAAACCTTGACCTCAGCCATATCCTTTGGGAAGGAGCTGGGGGGATTCAGCTCTGGGTCTGCACTGCCTGACACAGCAGTGGATGGAGAGGCACTTCCAGGGTGGGATTTGCTCAAGGATGGGACTCCTTGCACCCTGCTCTGAGCCAAGAACTCAGTGCTGCCTGGTTTCTCTCCCCTCTGCCCTGGGACTCACTCTAGATCGCTGTCTACGGCACCAATTTCTGCACCTCGGCCCGGAATGCCTTCTCCTTGCTGATGAGGAACATCATCAGGTGAGATCCTGGTGTCCAAGTGATTTCCAAGTCCTTGCTGCTGCCAGACATCCCCCTGTCCTGCCTCCCACCACCACACTGCACGGCTCACGACGCCCCGTGTGCCACACGCTGGGTCCTCCTCCTGCCCTTCCCCTGGGGCTCGGGGTGGGGAGTGGATGTGTGGGCTCATCTCCCTCTCATTTCCAGGGTGGCTGTGCTAGATAAAGTCACGGATTTCCTCTTTTTCCTCGGGAAGCTCCTCATTGTGGGCAGCGTTGGTGAGTGCTGAGCGCTGGAAGCTTCTCGGGGCTGTTGTGCTGTCCCAACCCTCTGCTCGTGTCACCCCTCCCATCCATCCTGTTCTCCATCCTCCCTGCCCATCCTGCTGCCCTCTGCCTTCCCAGGGATCCTTGCCTTCTTTTTCTTCACCCACCGGATAAAGCTGGTGCAGGACACGGCGCCGGCGCTGAATTACTACTGGGTCCCGATTCTGGTGAGTCTGGGCTGTGTCTGGCTGCTGAGGCAGAGCAGGGAGATGCCCTCACACCCCCCTCCCCACACCCTGGGCCTCAAGGAGCTGCTGTGTGGAAGTTCTCCCCGTGCCCAGCGCAATGAGCCCTTTGTGGCCGTCGCTCCCTCCCGCGCGCCCGCGTTGGCCTCAGGCCACCGCTCCTGCCTGGGGCCTTTTGTCCCCGCTGGGGCTGCTCTGAACAGTCCTGCCCTGTTCCCTCCTCGTCCTCCTCCTTCCCCCCCCCCGGGAATTTGGGATTCAGCAGTTTCCTCCTCCTCCTGCTGCTGGCTGTGGCTCCAGGCTCTCTGCCGGGTGTGAGCGCAGGGTTTCTCTTCCAGACGGTGATCGTGGGCTCCTACCTCATCGCCCACGGGTTCTTCAGCGTCTATGGCATGTGTGTGGACACACTCTTCCTCTGCTTCTGTGAGTACCCAGCCATGTCCCAGTGGGCAGCACATCCTCCCTCCCTCAGCCTGACCCCCTGAGCTGTCCCAGGTCCCTCTGTGTGGTTTTCTCCTGCTGGTTCCTTTCCTGTGCTCCTGCCCTTGCTCTGGCAGAGCCCCCCGAGCTGTCCATGTGCTCCTGTGTCTCTCCTGGGCCTTCTCTTCGGGTGCTTTGGGCTTGGTGGAGTTAACCACAACTAATTCAGTTTCCCTTTCCTCCCCTTTTCCTTCTTTTCCCCCTCTTACGTCTCTGCTCACACCTTGTCCATCCTCCACCTCCGCCCTGTCTCTCCCACTGCTTTTCACTCTTCCCCTTCACGGCTGCTTCCTCCCGGGGCTGGAAAAGGTGAAGACCTAGAGAGGAACGATGGATCTCCCGAGAGGCCTTACTACATGTCCCCTGAGCTCAGCGAGATCCTGCTCAAGGGGCACCTGGAGCCTTCCAAGAGCACCGAGAGCCAAGGCTAGGGCTGGCACGTGCCAGGGGTGGGTGCCAAGGGATGCTGCACCCAACCTGCCTTCCTGCCCGGT